GCACCAAAGTAGTTATCACTATGCACATTTTAGAACGATGTACAGTATATTAGTGTAGTTCAGTGCTTGAGTAAATGCCCTTAGCTGCTCTACACCACCCGTACTCTGCGTACTCTCTATAGACTCTGTCTACACACTATACTGTTTACTCTCTGTGCTCCCTGTGTACTATGTGCTTATACTTGAGCTGTACTCGGGTACTACACCTTCAGTACAGTCACTTGCGTGGGACCTGTCAGTACTCTGACTTTTGTTCAGGTGTGAGTTCAAAGCCCAGGATGTGTGAGGAGGAGTTTGCTAATGAAAAGTTAGTGCACACACACACACACACACACACACACACACACACCCTCCTCCTCCTTCTCCTGGATCAAGGTTCTTCAAACAGAGCGGGTCAGGATTTAAAGTGTCTGATCTTTAAATATGATTTTATCTCCCTGCAGAGGAGACATTTACTCTGACAGGTCGACGTCTCCCCTGAGCAGGAAACTTACCCTCCACGTCCTCTCATCTCTCGTCATCTCCTCTTGCTTCTCCTTCACCCCTCTCTCCTTCGTCACCTCATTTCTCCTCTCCCTCCTGTATCCTCTGATACTTACTGTGATTTACAGGCACAAGTTCAGCTCGTCTCTTTATGTCTTTCTGCAGAGGAGTTTCAGATCAGGCCCAGTCTGTCTGTCACATAAACCAAACCTCTCAGGGATCCTAGTGTAAATCAAGGAAACTTTAAGGAAAGAAATGTTTTGTCTTAAAGAATGCTGCTGTTTCCCACAAACCCCATCCAGAGACTAACAGCCCCAGTGAATGTGATATAACCTTAATCAACCTTAAACCAAGTTGCCCATTCCCTTTAACCTCTTTGTGGATTATAGCTCCACATTCAACACCATCTTCCCCCACAAACTGGTGGACAAGCTGGTGGACCTGGAAATTCCATATTCCAGAGAGGCCATGTGGCAGCATGACTGTGAGGATCCCACAGTCTCACTTTTGTCTTCTTATAGGTTTGATTGTTTTTGTTGTTGTTGTTCAGCCTGGTTTTCAGAGTATGATGCATGGCACTCTGTCTCTGTCTCAGCTACATGTTTACCCTGACCTAAATCTGTACCCAAGACCCGAACCCTTAAACCAAGTCTTAACCCTTCTTCACCATGAGGACATTTATACACTCTGAGGACATGTTGGCCGGTCCTCACAGTGTAAAAATGTCCTCATAGTAATTGTTTCTGACTCAAACCTGTCCACACAAACCTAGAAAGACACAAACTCGGACATGTTTGTGCAGCTGAGCTCTCAGTGCCACCCAGTGACAGGCAGAGTGTGAATATTGAACTGACTTATCTGCTGACACACCAGGCTTGACTGTCCAAATTAATACTCATACACAGGGATTATAGAGAGAGGAAGACCAGAGCGCTGGGATTTCTTTATTTGGTAGACCCCCCCAACACACACACACACACAGTTTGATGAATGTTTGCGTGAAGCCTCCTTATCGGTAAAGTTTCCTCCAGCACTTCGTTCCGACCGACGCAACTGTAATTTCATGGCCTCTGTGTTTCCACTGCAGACACTGTGTGTGTGTGTGTCTGTGTTTGGGGAGCCCCCCTATCAAACACCCAGAATGTAAATCATGTTGGTTATTATTCATGTTTTGTCAGAACACAGGAGGAAATTTAAAAGACACAAACACACACTGCCGTTTCACAAGGAGAAAATATTAATAACAATTGTTGTCACCGTTTCTACCATCAGCTGTAAACAAACACACACAAAGGCAGTGCAGGTTTTACACAACACCTTCAGCTCTCAACAAACAGTTTGTAATGAGAGTACAGACTTTCAGAGTCACTACTGTAATCAGACATTAAAGCTCCACAGCTTTAACTTCCTGTTCAGGTCTCAACGTGCTGATACAGTGCGTTAAAGGCAGGTTAGGTCTGGAGGATGGTGCCGCTTAGTGGGGGGGTCTGAAGATTTATGACGACATGGCCTGACACCCCCTCTGGGGTCAGATAACGGATAAACATCATTTAACTTGTATACTGAACTTCCAGAAGAACACTCTCCCATTATTTGTGTATTATTGCCTTGATGACCTGATTGATCTGTTTATCCCCAGTCGCGACCTGTGCACTGAGACAGAATCCTCACAGTATACACAGGCCAGCCTTCCACGGCGAGGTCATGGGAGAAGATTTGATTTCCAGCAACCAGGTTACTATAGTGCATGTAAACGTGCGCTTGTGTTACCTGTGTAAACTGGTTTCTCTGAATAGACACACAGAGAAATCTGCTAACACGTGGGCTGATGTACAGCATCTTCTTGCAGCAACTAGAGCCACATTGGTACGTGTACGGACAGAGCACGCAGGTTCTAATGCGTCAGTAGTTCGTTCGCGGTTCTGATGTGGCGTGAAGTGGCAGTTTTGGCTGCATTTGTGCAGGTTGTAGAGTTTGTTAGGCCACAGTGGCTTCAGTCCGGACTCCCTGCAGACTGTACTGTGGATCTAAATTGGAGTGGATGTAAACTGTGGAGTGTTTTTGTGTTCCATTCAATAACCCAGAATGACAAAGTGAAAACATGTTTTCAGGCATTTTACTAGTTTATTATACTGCAAAAATGAACCCTAACTATCTTAAAACAAGGTATTAGATGTTTTTTTTTTACTGTTCTTCTGACCAGGCAGTTTGTTATGTTGGAACATTTGACTTGTTTCAAGATGTTTTGTCCATATTTATCTTAAAAGGATAATATGCTACTGAGATTTTAATAATGGTTCTGAGTAACTCAGTGCTTGAAATTAGAATTATAAAGGTGTTTGTTCAAAGCTGCTTTGTATCAGATAAACTTGTTTTTAGTCTGGATCCACTAGCTTTAAAATCTCTTTGGGTTCTTGAGGCTATATATTTTTACTTTGGTTTTTTACTGGCAAGTGAATTCTCACGTTCTGCTGGCAGATAGGTTGTGCTTATTTTAAGAAATATTTGCCCCATTCTATTACTTTTTAGAGGGCTGAGTTTTTGCTGTGTAAAAATCAAAAACTGAAACTTGCCAGTCTGTTCAGACTCTTTGCTCCAACAGTTAAAGGAACTTCACATTTGTCCTTGATTGAACTGTAGGAAGTTTCAGATTATTAGTACTGATATTCGGGTACTAGCTTCCTTTGGTTGTCGGTAATTAACTGCTCTTGTGTGGCGCTGTTTTGTCTAATCAACCTGATTTTACATAACAGGATGACGTTTGTGCAGTGCTGTAGAGTTCATTAGTCTCCATTGATTTCACAGGCTGTTCACCTTCTGCACACCTCGTTGTGTTGTAGATTTAACCTGCTTTTTGCTGTGGCTCCAGACTGTGCTCAGGTGTGTCCTGTTTGCTTTAATCCTGCTTAAGACTAGAACCTGAGTAAATGGGGCAGTTGGACAGAGCTTAGACAGACACGTGTATATGAGGTCCCACAGTTGACACTGCAGGTCAGGATGCAAACCACACGCGAAGTCTGAGGTCTGGATGGAAACTTGTAGCTCCTGGGTTCGTTTCTGTTTGATGGGAAAAGTCTGACCGCCATAAATGAAAAGAGATGAATGTAAAAAAACTGTAGAGACAAAGTGCTGGATGTGTTGTACTCCACATTTATTTATCACGATGCACACACAGTGGAGGGTGGTGAGCAGAACCAGACTGAAACTATTAAGACACTCCCTGGTGCTGTGTGTGTCCTGTGAAGCGTGGTACGGTATGATAATTGAATTTTGATGAAAGCCACATGGTTGCTAATTCAATGTGGAACTACACGAACACAAAAGACACACACTAACTATGTGATTCTTTGTGTTTCAGAATAATATTTAAACAAAATACAATCGCTGCTCTGAATCTGAGAAACGTCACCACAGCTGAAGTCAGAAGCATTTCTCTAACATCAGTGTGACCAAATAATCATTTAGTAGCCACGTATTTAAAGTTGCATTAACTCAGATTTCCCCCCACAGTCTGATAACCCCAGTGACAGTGGGACAGGACGTGGTGTCTCTCAGCTACACCCCCCTCCATGACCCTCTGCTGCCTACAGCCCTCCTGTTGTTATTCCAGCTTCTCCACCCTGTGTTGTCAAAGTACGGTCTGTAAATGAGCCCCGCCTGCCACCTAGCCAAGGTTAGAAGAAGGGTTTTTCCAGCCAGTATTCATGTCAAACAGCCATGGAGGAGCTGTGGCCAGCTAAAAGTGAACCAGCAGCTGCCAGAGTGAAGAGGTGGGGTCTTTTGCACAGAGAGAGTGGAACAAAGAAAGAGCAACAACCAGGGTTAACATGGGTTTGGCTGTTTGACATGGAGAGGGTTAAAAGCAGACAGAGGGCTCATTCAGATGTGGCATTCTTCTTCTGGATGTGTTAGCATCTAAAGCTAACCTGTTTGTTTTGGTAGCATTAGCCACCCAGCATGGTCAGGACTTTACCTTTGTGTTGAATTAATATGATTTTAGTTTGGGAGGAACTGGAGCTTTGTGTAATGTCAGTGTTTTGTGTCACATCACCAGGAACCAGAGCATTCTACTGGACTGACAAGTTTACTGTTAGCCAGCTAACACTAGCTTCAGACTGGAGGATGCATTTTGGACAGTTTGTCTCAGACATCTGTAGTTCATGTCAGAGCTTCAGTGAGAAGTTGTTTGTGGTGTCAGTTTGTCTGAGCCTCACTGGACCCTCTGGGCTGAAGAGACGTTAAATAGAGGAGATTTGAAGTTTTTGCCTCATTTATTCTCATTATATTGGGGTCACAAAGCTAAACACCAGTTTAAAAAAAAAGTAAATTAGAACTAATGTCCTAATCCAGGTAACCAAAACTGACAGATGTCTGCTCATTTTACACTAAATTTTAACTCCGGAGTACCACAGACAGAACAGTAGTTTACGAGCTATGTAATTTCTACATCTGCTCTGGTGAAAGCAAGACATATGACTTATCTGACAGTGCTGATGTTTAATAATGACAAATGTAGATCAACAGTAACGGAACTTTATTTACAATGTTATGTTTTATGGAAAAACAACATCATCACAATATATTACATCATCAAAATAAATAAAACAAAAATAGCCTAAACAGGAACAGCTGGACAGATGTGGACGCAGAAAGCTCAGTTTAACATCTGCAGCTTCCAAACCACAGAGCAGCAGAGTGTCCTTGAGACACGGCTGATTTTCATAGAAATGAACAAAAAGCAGCAGGAGGAAAGGAAACGAAGAGAAAAGCTGATGCACGGGTGTGAAGCTAACATGCACACAGGTTTAAAACACCGTGGACGGTCACTGTTCTTCCAAAGTGGAAACAAAGTTCAGTGTTCTCCTTTGTCGGGTGCAGAGTCATGTGAGGAGGTTGATGTTTAAGGTAAACGCCACGAGTCGGCTGCATTTACATGACTGATGGAGAGACCTAGAGACACACAGAGAGAGAGAGACAGTTAACTCATGTACTGACCCTCTCCTTGAGCTGAACCCTGAAGTCGCTGATCTCCAGGAGCTAAAATCAGATCATAAAACCAGTAACTTGTATGTAGAACTTTCTAACAGCATCGTTCGCACTGTGCTTCACATTGTGCTGGAGGGACATATCTGGTCTTTGTAGGGAATCTGGCTGAACTTCAGAGGGAAATCAGCTGGTTTAATTCACATTCCTTGTTCCCTAAGAAACTTATCACATGTTGACTTTTCTCTGATATTTAACTACTCTGTCCCCAGAGGAACAGGGCGAGCGTGTGACCTTGTACTGTGGAGACTCCTACGTGAACGTATTTCCATTCATTCATGGCACATTGTGAAAGGCATCACACCGCTGGAAGGAAATGCAGCTGTTCTCTACCAGGGCTTTTGTTTTAATGTCTCAGGTGTTTCTTGTCAAACATCAAAAGCAGTGGTTAAAAAAGAAAAGGAGCCTCAACTTCTTTGAGTCAGATGTACTAAGGAAGTGGACTTGGCAAATGTGTGCAGCTACAATCAGTGTGACTTTACTAAGTCTACATTCACATTAGAGCTGCAGTTTCCCTCCAAGTTTCCCAGACCTGGTGTGTCCACAGCAGTGTGAACAACCAGGCCAGACCTGGGCCACCTGCGTATGTGCTCCTTGACCCGATTCCTCTCTGACCTCTGACTGTGCGAGCGCCGTCAGAACAGTCAGATCAGAATCCATGTGGTCGTTTTAACGTCTCCTCTGCACATATGGCCTGTCGTTGTCATTCGGCATCGGTAACAGTAAACATGGAGGAGAGCGACAGGGTCAGTGGAGAGATTCAGTTTCAGGCCTTCAGCATCTTGACAAACATCTATAAGTTTACACAGACACAAACAAGAGTTTCTAATCTCCTCAGTTCTCCTGTGAACCTACAGGGTTCCCGTCCAGGTGTTCATAGAGACACATGAGGCTTTCTGTAGGTCTCATTGCTGATGGATAGGCGGGTCAGCCGGGCACCGTAATAATCCACAATGTAGTTTGATCCGTCTGCTGGACCCACGATCTGCAGGTGGAGACACAACAACACGAGGTACTGTTAGCATTTAGAGCAGGACGCTGCGGAGCCACACCTGAACATTTAGGAGGTGAACTGGACTAGTCCCTAATGACAGACTTTGGCTCCGTCTACCTACGTTTTTCCTCATCAAGCCCAGGACGATGGTGACAGGGCTGATCACATCTTATTTTGAAAGTGCACAAAGAAAAACGTGGTCTTAACTGTGACTGTGCTGATTTCTCATGGCAGTTACAGGACAGTGCAGCCAGAAGCTCAGCCACCCCCCACTCACCGGATGATTATTAAACCTGGGCCAGTGACCTGCGACGAATCTAAAAAATAAAATCTTCAGCCACTTTGAGGCTTTGATTGCTGCAGGTAATAATTACATTAGCTGCTGTCACACACAGAGGTGTGTAAAATCGCCGATCCATCAAACATGGCTGACGCCTCGCATCATGTCCAGGTTTAAATGCTCCATTAGTCCAACCATCCATCCATCCATCGCCGGCCCCTTCGCACCTCCTCGTGATGGATTTCCAGGTTCTATTATCTAAAATGCTTCAACAGGAAGGAGTGATTTGTCCCTTCACCTCCTGCTTCTCTCACTCTGAGTCCATTAGAAACTTCTAGAAGCATCATTTATCCTGAGGCCTTCAGAGGGGCCGCGCTGCATGATGGATGGCAGTAAATAATAATTAGGAGGCCGACGCTTGTTTATTCATCAGGCTCGCTGGTTGTCCCCCTGAACGGGCAGTTAGCCACTAAAACATGAGGCTCCGCCGCCACGTGGCACACTGAAATGCTTCTTCCGGGAAACGTGGACCTTTTCATCACAGGTCAAGAGGCTCATCAGCTACTTGTTGAAAGATCTGAATTTCATACACTGACCGGAATAATGTTCCGTTTGTTTAAAGGCTGGGTGGTGACCAGTGTGACCGGTAGCTAACTGGGTTAGTGACTCACCTGCATGGCGATCAGTATGAAGTCGATCAGAGTGCCGATTCCGCAGAAACCAACGGTGCAGAACTTGAGCAGTCCTGAGAGACAAGAGACAGTGAGTAAATATCAAATGAAGACAAGTTGTCACTGAGAGCATTTTACTCCTCTACACTCCACATGAACTGATGTGTCCAATTGAAAGACGTATCTGAGGCTGCATTCACATCCCAGCTGAAGTTTCCCAAACTGACCAGATGTGGCTTGTGTTTGCAGTTTGATGCTGAGCCAGCTGTGTGTAACTTTCATGTCTGTGCAGATCAAGTTTAACTAACTAAGTGGCTGATTAGACACACTAGCAGAGATGATGACGAGATGGGCTTCATCACCACTCACTACGAGTGAAATGAATAAATCAGACATTTAAAGGACCTGTTTTTACACTGGATTCAATGGCAGCCGAGGCATCAGGCTGTAAGTTTCTCTTAGACACAAGGAAAATAAAAATCAAATGTGCAGATGTTGCTGAATCACTCGTCAAAGGAGGAACCCTGTCGATGTCAGCGACCCTGTGTCGGCGCCGCCCACAGGACAAACTGCTGAAAGCGCTGCCACAGCCCTGTACTTTGTGTTTGTTCTGTGTAACAGAGCTGCCTGCAAAATACATTTTTAGAAATGAATCTGACTTGGCTCGGCTTGCGTTGACCTGTGCCAAATCGGGCCAGGTGCTCATCAGTGCAGCTGTCCTCCATCCTCCTCCCTACGACACACACAAACACACAGCCTCTCAGCCTTTGTCATGCTGCAGGTGTCTCATTAAAATAAGGATGAGAGGAGATTCAGTCTGCCAATAATAACCCATCCTTGTTGTGCTAATCATAACTGTTATTATGCTCCATTGTGTGTAGATCAGGGACGAACAAAGTCTAATTGAATTTCATTTGAATTCAGGCTGGAAGACCAGAAAATGAGGAAACCATTAAAGGGCAACGCCACCTATTTTCACCAGCAGTCCCTGTGATGTCCACTGGATGCTGCTGTGATCAGCTCTGTAGTGATGTGAATGGGGAAAACCCCATTAAGCTTTAATTGGACAGGCAGACGAGCTGAAGACTCCTGGATCTTTCATCCTGTGGTGCGAACACGCTTCCACCTCCTCTACCTCCTCCAGTTCCATAAACGCAATTTAATCATTTGTCACCTATGGTGTTTTCAGTCTGTCTTGCTGAGCGGTGGTGTGCGTGGCGGAGGCATCCTGAGTCACACCCGAGCCAGCGTGACAGTGTTTCCACTGCACTGTAAAACGCACTGCTTATCACCCGCATCTCGGTCGTGTGGGGGTGGTGCTGGCCGCTGAAAAGTGACACATAACTTGCAGCTTTCTCTTACCCCCTCATCAGAAGGCCGGGTGAGAGACTCCATTTTCGAATCTTGCTGCAGTGAAATAAAAGCTAAAATGTCAGTGCTGAATGTACAAACTTTTCCATTCCAGTGCTGTTGAAGGTGGCGCTCAGCTCCACTTGGCCCCGGGCAGAAGCAGGGCCGGCTGAGCCCGAGCCAGCACTATGAGTGCACAAAAATGCCAAGGAATTGAAAAAGAAAACTAATGATCTGTAACAAAATGTGCATTGTATGTTTTGGTAAAACTGATGTTATAAAGTCGGTATCAAAGTCAAGGTATTGGTACCAGTATCAAATATTTTGGAATGATACCTGGTCCCATCCTCCCAAATATAATGGAGGAGGCTGTGCTGCAAAGACAGATGTGTAAAAATACTCCATTACAAGTAAAGGCTGCTAATTATGCCTCAGGTTTAGACATGTTGTGATGGTTTGAAGCTAGGGAATCCACTACGTCAATAAATGTCCTCATAGGGACAGAAGTACCTGTGTGTGTGTGTATGTGTGTGTGTGTGTGTGTGTGTGTGTGTGTGTGTACGCGTACGCGTACCTAGAGCAGGGTACCCCAGGTAGAAGCGGTCCGCTCCGAGCCAGCCCAGAAACAGAGATAATGCCACAGCTACTTTGTAGGAATACCCACTCCTGGCAGGAAACGGACACACGTTCATTGATAAGAAGGATAATGAACATAAAAATAAAACTGAACTATTTCTGTAGCATCTTCTGTACATTTTTGGTGCTTTACAGATGACTGACAAGCTGATAAGACAAAACACATGTGGACAGAAAAACTGTTTGAAAACACATAATAACTAAAACAACAGATAAAAATAATGACAAATACACAATATGATGGAATAAAACATAAATGCAGTAAAATAAGAAACAGAACTGACAATGCATGTGAAGAATTCTAATCCAAAGCAGGTCAGAGGTTTAAAAAACACTTCAGCTGTGGAACTGTCCTGCAGCTGATGAATGAAAATACAAACGCCTAAACGTGTTAAATGTGGCCCAGGAAACCCACTCAATACAGAGTTCTCGCTCCACCAGTCTTACACCAAACTCACCATCAGACCACTCAGCTTACAATCAGCCTGTCGTCAGACACCGAGACGCCACAGTCTGGCGTCAAACGTCACAGTGTTTGGCAGCAGTTCACGAATTTCACACATTTCAGTAAGTTCCACCGCAATAGTGCAGTAACAGGAACCCGATAATTCAGCGCTGCAGCTGACGGTTTATTCTCTCCACAGAAGCTAAGACGTGTGTGCACGCATGCTGTGAGCACTCACACGTTCCTGCAGGTGATGGTTTTGTTGAAGCCCACTTCGTCCCCACTGAACCTGAACTCCGTCCCATTGGAGAATCGACAGCTGATGTTCGGTGCTGGGAGACACTCCACTGCAAATACACACACATTTGTAGTTCTGTTTCTGTGAGGACCCTCAATGACATAGTGCATCCCTTAGCCTAAGCCCACGCCTCAGCCTAACCCTGACCTAAACCTGAACCCTAAAGCCAGGTCTGAACCCTTAAACAGCCCTTTGAATATGTGAGGACTGGACAACATGTCCTCACTCCCACGGTATAAATCTCGCGCTGGTCTTCAGAGGAACAGAAACTGGTTTGCAGGCAGATTTCCAACCAAAATTTTACCCTTTTTAAAAATCACATTTATGGGTATCTTTTGACATTGTCTTGTATTTCTTTTAGATATTTTCTAATTACTTTTCTATTATGTAAAGCACTTCATTATCAATTCATCTACTAGCCTGACTTCAGCCTGGCTTTCCAGCACTGTGTTCATTTAAAACACCAGATCTGTTGTCATTTAGGCTGAAACCTGCCAAATGAGGAAGCATGTTAAACATATCAGAATAACCCGTGTTGTGTCACACTCACCCCAGGCCGTCTTTTCCCTGCAGTTCTCCGGCTCCTGAGTGGCTTCATCGATCTTTGGATCTTTACAGAGATACGTGAGCAGAGTGAAGGAGCCCAAACTGTATGATCCAATGTTAATACAGTGGGGAAAAAAAAACAGACTGAAGGTAAAAATAACCACTTCAGACACGTTATCACATTAGAAAATATCAACAGCTATTCACTATGTTTAACTGCAGCTTGGGTGTTTCTGGCTGTTTGGGAAGACGCCAATGATCTGCTGGCAGGGGCATCTCAAAGAGGCTCAGGACGCTGTGAAATGCTGCTTTACACGCTGGTACATTGACAACCCATAATATCAGATATGAAAATATATCACAGGGTCAGTCTTAATTTTTGATACTCAGCACATTATACTGATAATACTCATGTACTTTTACTTAAACGGAATTTTGAATGCGGACTTGGGACTATTTTGAAACTGTGGTACTGGTAGTTGTACTCGAATAAAGGATGAGTATTTCTCCCACAACTGCTGTTCACCCTGATCCCAAACAATGTGTGGTTACATCCAGATGAATTTAGGAACATCTGAGAAACAGTCCGAACCTGATCACAACCTGAAGACTGAGTCACGTTGTGAAGCTAATAACGTACCAATAACACTGTCATAAATAAAGCTTCATGTCTCTACAGCAAGCTACACATGTACAATAGTAAAAAAAAAGTAATACACTTTAAAGTATACATAATAACTACTGCATTGCACTAATATTTAGGTATGTGTAATATTTTAGCTGCAGGTTGCTTCAGTATGCATTGCTAAGCCAACTGCCCTTAGCCGCCACCTTAGGGTAAATTATCTTCCTTTAAATGTGAGTTACGTTAATATACATGAAATAAAGGATATTGTCCGAGTCTTAGGTTTTCGCAGCTGTCCACGTCTTCAGCCAGAACCACCTTTAAATGAGAGTAAACGTAGTAGAATATTAGGATCCACAGCCCAGAGCGTAAACAAACTAGCTGTCTCCAGGAGGACGCCATAACTGACTGTCACGTGACAGAGCGATGCCTTTACGTCGCTCTGACAAATGGCAATTCAGATATTTGGGGACACGATTACAGAAGACCCAACATGCTCTGAAATAATGTTTTAACAACTAGTTAAAACATTATTTCAGACAAAACATTGATGTGAAGGAATTTGAATTTAGTTATTTGAAGGAACATGATTTTAGTATTAACCAAAACTTTACTGTCTCAATAATACATTTAGATCCACTTGTAACATTTTTTCTCAGTATGTTGTGTTTCCAAAAACCTTGTTTGGTGTCCCAAATATTGGAAATGAATGAATCAAGATATAGATTTTTCTTTTTTTAAATAATGTCAAATATGACAGGTTTGTACTTACTGGTATCCTACTGTTTAAGCCCTTTGTAAATACTGTTATTTAAAAAAACTACAAAAAATACTATTAATAATAATAAATAATAACTACAACAATGCTAAAAAGTACTGATAGTACTTTCTGATTCTGATTCTGTTATCATTAGCCTATTATATGAGGCTTAACTGATAAATATAAATATGGCTTCAAAATATTATGCAAATAAATATAGGCTATATATTGTATTTTTAAAAAAGTTTTGTTAATGTTCTGTACCAAATATTTGGCAAATGAAATGAAATATTTGGCAAATAAATATTTCATGTTTTTGTAAACAGAAATGTGGAGCCTTGGATCCACCAATGATTTACTTCTGCTATATCAGGATCATCATTTTTTTTATTTGAAAGCTATTATAAATAAATAAATTAAGTGAGTTTATTTACTGAATAAAGTGAGAACTCTCAGCTTCAAACCATAATTCAGAAGTTGTTAAATTTCTCTCATATTGTTTAGTTTTTTTCTTCTATGACTAAAAACTAAATATGTACGGAATTTTATTTATTTGTTTTTGTATAATTTTATATGAATAAAACAGAGGAGGATGTCACTTTGGCCTTTGGGACACTAGAATGAATGTTTTTAACCATTTTCTTGCATATTAGTGACCAAACGACTAATTCATTAATTGACAAAATAATCGACATATTCATCTAAATTTAAAATAATCATTAGTTGCAGCCCTGGATTAAGGTATTTATAGCAAAATATAACAGACTTAACAAAGCATGAAATGTGTTTCACGTTTCCTTTAGGTTACAAGGATAAAACATGTGGTGCCAGGATGCCCGACAGCATTCGAAAGCAGCATTAAAGCGACACTGATGCCAAGCTGGATGCAGTTCATGTGAGTTTTACACCAGTTTAAACCTCCCTTGAATGCGCCTGCTTTTTCTGATTTGATTATTTGGAGGCGGCTACACCTTCCGACTGTTTATCTCCTAGAAATATGACGAAACGAGACTTTGTAGGCGCAATTTAACAAGCTAATTTGGCATGCTAACAGCTAGCCGCCTGTTAGCGCCCGGCTGTGTTGCTGTGAAACTGATGGAGAAGTTGTATTAATGTTGTTTTAGTGAAGCCGTTGGTTATAAAGACACGGGAAGCAAAGTTTGATGGTGTCTGTGGTTTAATAGTGTGTGTTTTGATTATGTCGTAGTTGTTTGAAGCGTTTTTTCATTCCATTTTTATTACTGTTTTGATGCACCTGTTGCGAGTTGAACCCGCAGGTGGCTTCCTACAGATTTAAACGCCCCCGTAAAGACTTTTAACACAAATTTAAAATTAGCACAACATCCAGATTAGCGGATTATTCATTGATGACATTCCACAATTCGGTTTTACCCCTCCCCTCCGAGCTGCCGAGTTTCACTTCCTGTTTCTCAGGTGAGCTTACAGGTGAGTTTCGCCCTGACACAATCACAGATTTAACGGAGTAAACAAGACCTTCGGGCTGGTTTGTCTCTTGTTATTTGATGTGAACGTTGGAAAGTGTTGTGTTGTATGTTTTTCCCGTGTGTGCGCTGGTGGAGCTCGGCCCTGACTGTGTAAACAAGCCGTGCTAATGAAGCCAACGGTCAGATCAGCAGCTTTTCACAGAGAGACACCGGAGCACACAGTTAGAAACCAGCTGTGGACAGATGTAGAAGTTAAACGTAGTTCCAAGGTTTCAAAGCTCTTATAAACCACACCTGTAGGCTACGAGACAATAGAACTTGACAATAACAAACTGCACATTCTTAGTATTGACTAAGTTATGAAATGGTACCAGAACACAGCTGCTGTTTGTTTCCACTACTCTGCTCTCTCTGGTCGAGTCTTGTAGCACTGTAGTTTTACTCGTCTTTGTAGTTGTTTTGTGCTTCCTCGTGGTCGTTTGGCTTCCTGTTCTGGTCAGTTTGTCTTTGTGTGTCCTTTGTTCTGTGTTGTCTTGTGGTAGTTTTGCATCTGCAAGCTGCTGTATGTTGATCATTCTTGTTGGAAAGTAGTTCAGTGAGTACAGACTGCTCTTACAGTTCAAATAACTGACCTTCTCATCGGGTTCTTTTGCCCCCTAGGGTTTAATTCGTCATTCATGTTGCAGTATTTAAAATATGTGTGAAATCATGTTCTGTGTCCTTCTGTGTTCAGACTGATCCAGAGCGACAGACAGCCGGAGTGTCACTACAATGTTTGAAAATGTCCCTACAGGTACAGTAAATCTTCTCAGCTCGCCTGCATTTGATATTTTTTATCCAGCTGTTCACACACACAGCGCAGCTTCACTGTGTGTGGTGGTTGCTTCTATATCATCAGTCCTGTGTGTGTGTTTTTTGTCTTCAGTGTCCTCAGTGGAGCGCCAGCAGGTACTGGGAGCTCTGGAGCGTCTGCAGGCCAAACTGGTCCAGAGGGAGGAGTGGACCCACTGTAACACCCTGGGGAACCTGAGGGAGACTCTGCAGAGTCCACTGTTCAGCCACATCCTGACCCTGCAGCACTCCATCAAGCAGCTCCGAAACCAGGTGACAACAAGCGACAAGTCCCTTTAGCCTGAAGTTCTCCACCAAACAGGAACAGAAACATCACCCCAACAGTTTATAAATGCCTTGTTATATTTGTGCGCACGTGGCTCACATTTCAGTCCAGTCTGTGCATGTGTGGCAGTTTAGGAGCTCCGTGGTGTTCACACCGGAGCCGGACACATTGATGTGAAGCATCAACGCAAAAACATCAGATCTGACTGAAGCAACAGGTCTCAGCGTTAAGGCCTGAGATGTGGATGCAGAAATCCTCCGATACCTCACGGCACTGCGCTTACGTCAGAAACAGGTTCACAGTCATCTCTAACCCTGGCAGCAGACCAAAACTAACATGCAGTGCTGGTATTTCAGACTAGGAGCAGCAGCAGCAGAAAAATGGCTGAAAAGCATCAACAGGTCTGATCAAGAGACTCGTCCTGATCGATGCCAGCTAATGTTGGTGGCTGCTGCTCATTTGCTAGTGCAAGATGGAAACAGCTCTGACTGAACAACATGATTCAGAAAATGTGAATACACTGTGTGGTTGCAGTCATTGGTCAGTTTATTAGAAACCCCTGTGTCAGACTACCTCAGTCTGATCCAGCAGTCCTACAGTAAACCCTCCTGCACAAAGCTGTTGATGGTTCAGACTGTGTTGGTTCAGCCGTGTGATCACTGTGGGGGTTTCAGTTTGTGCTGCATTATACAGTGAGGTGGTGGTGTTATTTTGTCCACCCCACTTATATCATGAAGGTTGGCTAAGTAACGCTGCAAATATATATTGTACATGATTTAGTGGTAAATGGCTTTAAAAGTCTTATTATAGGCAGTGTTTTCTACATTCATGGGGGGGATATGATAACCTTTTTATTTTATAGTAAAGTAATTTTTCTTTTGTGTAGCTGTTTAATTCCAGTAATATAAAACTTGAATTGTGATCATTACAGCAACAATTTCTGGTGGACCTCTTGACACGTCTTCCTGAACGGTTTCAGGTAACTGAACTATTCGGGTCAGATCATCAACAGTCCACTGGGAATTTACCCACGTACAGAGAACGCTGAATCAGCAGCAGCTTTAAAACCAGCGCGACTGAAACCTGAACATGAATTAAGTAAGAAACTGGCAGGTTAGTGAATTTGGAAAATCAGAGTTAAATATTTTAACTCATGAGCCAGGAAAGTAACATCTAAATGAGATGGGCCAAAGTTTAGAAAGGCCTTCAGTGTAGTGTAATGGAGCAAACTTCCTGTGTGACAGTGTGAACACAGTGCATCCGTCTTCAGTGGCAGTGTGTTACTGCAGGCCTGCTGTGTTACATCAGCAGGTGTGTCTCTTCTCGTCTCACTCAGTGTGTTTAACATCAGAGCTGCACACTAGTGAGTGTTTCCCATCAGAGCTGACATGTGTAACTCCTCCCAGGTGTCACGGCCTATCAGGTATCAGTAGTCTCCCGCCTCCTGTCCCACACGGTGTCCCATCGGGGGGGACACCGAATCCTCTCTGCATCGCCATTTGTATTCAGCTCCAGCTCGCACTGACGTGGAGCCTTTACAATAAACAGTCTGCAGGCCAAATTAAGATAATGGCAATAACCGACGACGGGCTTCATATTCTAAGTGCTGCCAAGGTCAGAGCTGAGTTTATGAATGCGTCGGTGGAGGGTATATGAAGCAGGGACTTCTCTCGTTTATTTATTTTCCCTCCCTCCCTGGCTCTCTGCGGATCTATCAAGCTTTAATATCTAGTGTCTTGGTTTGAGTAACGGCCTTGTCGAGGCGGTATTGATGAAATGGCTCGGGATCCTGCTCCGTCAGCCTGGCCTAAATAAGCCGCAGACTGATAAGTTTCCACAATGTGAGTGTAAAGGTCATTAATACATTACCTGTTCAGAGTGAGAGCGCCTGCAGAGGAATCTATTGATTTTCTTTTTCCTCTCTCCTCCCCACTTGCCCCGGCCTCTGTGCTTCATTTTTCCCCTCCATGTCGTTCTTTCTTGCCGACAGTGTCCTTGCATATAAGGGCGCCTCCCCGTCTCTCTCTCTCTTTCTCTCTGCTTTCGCTGTTCCTCTCGCCGTCAGACATTTGTTTTGTGTTTGGTGGTAAAACCTGAAGCTGGTCAGAGTCCACGGCACCAGTCCTCCTTCCCACTCTAGGCCTCAGATCAGACTTTGTAGAAACACATGGCCAAAAGTATTTGGACAGATGACTGTTCCCTCCATATTTTACACCGTGGTCACTGATGACCCTTATAAATAGCGTCACGCTTTCCAGCAGATGTTGAACTGGCTCAGGTCCAGCACTGATGTCAGGTTTTACTGTAAAGTGAGGCTGGAGAAGCTGAGAAAGAGAACGACTGCACTGTGGTTTTATTAAAATGAAAAACGCTCTGCTCTCAGCAGTAAAGACGAGGCTAAAATTCACAAAGTTTCATGCAGCCTTTCTGCTTTGGATCTCAGACATTCACTGCAGCGGCCTTTGTGTAACCTCAGCTGCTGATAAAATTTGTGCTTAAAGCTGCAACTGCAAATCTTTTCTTCACATTCACAAACTTTCGAAAGTGATAAACATCCACAGGCCTTGAACTGATTCCGGCTTCTGTCGCTCCACAAGTTCAGGATCTTACTGAACTTTATTTGACTGTGAAGCGGTAATGTTGAATCTGAGACAAAATTCCCTAAAGGGACGTTGAAGTCTGTCTTATCTTGTTTGAGCCCCCACGATGAAGCCTCTTCAACTCAGATGAATTCTTTATAGTCCTGGGTGAATTTTTGTCTTATGGTGTTTTTAAAGTTGTGTTGTTTTTCAATTTAACTTCACATTCACTTTGCACACACCATCACTGTGACTTTACAGTAAAACCATCACTGAAGAAAAACTGCTGAGTTGTCCTTTAAACTCTGGAGCTTCTGTGTTTCTGCTGCTGGTATTAAATGCATGTGACTCTCGCCCTATGTTCACACAGTAACCATAGCAGCTTGTCCCCTGAGCTCCACGAATAGAAAATTAAACACTGATTCTCAGATGCGTCCGTCCTGTTCAGCAGCAAACAGCCATGTTTCTGCATTAAATCATAGCACATAGGACTTTTGGAATCTTCAGTGTGTTTCTGAGGATGATTTTTAACATTGTTCCCCCCCCCCTCCATAAAATAAATTGTGTTCATGTCTCAATTTGTCTGACGTGAGGTCCAAACCCAGAAATATTCACTTTGCAAAGATTTGAATCCGACAAAAGCCGAAAATTTATGTATTAGCATTTGAGAGGCTGAAAGCAGCCTTTTTTCGCTTTTTGTCGATTATCAGAATAGTTGTAGATTATTTTTCTGACAACGGTCCAGTCGTCGTTGCTTTTCTTTGGACAGAGACGGGCTTTTCTTCTGCTTAGACATGAGCTTGAGCTCCAGAAAGAGGAAAGGTACCTCATATAAACCCAGTAGGATGAGTTTAGATTGTTTCATTCAACAAACAGTCCGAAGTGTAAAAATGTTCTGCCTACCTTCAGGTATCCAAGAAAAGTACTAAATCACCACATTTGAGAAGCTTTAACCAGCAATTTAGTTTTTTACTTCAATGATTAAAAAGACTAATGGATTATCAGAGTCAGTGCAGACTATCTTGTGGTTATTCAAGTGATCATTGTTTTGGAGTTCAGTGTTGTAGCTGCACAGAAACTGTGTCTAAATAACAGACAGTGTAAAGCTGTAAAAATATTTAAAGGATGAGTGAAGTTTAAATTGGTCAGTGAGAGTAATGAAGAAAGCAGGCGTCTGTGCTGTGGCTTTCATACTGTATTTGTTCAGCTCATTTTTGTGCAGCTCTGAGCCAGCTCTGCAAAACATGTATCACCTCTTATCTGACAGACCTCTCCTCCTCCTCTTCCTCCTCTCTTCAGCTCAGCAGTATTCCTCCTGACGCCTGCAGTGAATTCAGTTTCTCCAAAAAGGGTCAGCTGATCATGAGCGCCGTTAACTTGGCCAGCAGCTCAGCCCCACCCACACCGTCCACCTCCTCCTCCTTCCTGACCAATGGCTCGTCTCCGCCCTCGTCTGACCTTCTCCAGAAATGGATTCTTGCTGCCGCTAAAGTGGGGGGGGGCCC